TATCACTTTTTCAAAAAGGTGAAAAAAATTCAGCCGAATTTCTGATTTCTATCTTTTGGGGTTTTCTTTTGGTCTGCTCTGGAGTGCATTTTTTTTTTCTGTAATGATTTTGGAGAAAAGTCATGGAGTTTTATTTCTTATTTAATTAATAAAATTCGATTTTATTTTATTTTGCTTTTGTTTTTTAGCTTGTTTTGTTTACTAATTAAGGTTTAAGCTTTCACTCAGCTTTATAGTATTGAAATTTTAATCTGTTTTTAAATTTTCTGACTTCTTATAGCATCTGTGCCATAATTAGGTCATCTCAATTGTGAATTTTATGAAGGAATTTATTTGTGAAGTAAAGCCATTGTGATCTTCCGATTTGTAATTTTATTAGAATTTTTGGGAAACTTGGGTTTATTTATGTGTTGTGGAGAGTTTTAACTTGTTGGTGTAGATTTGAGGGTATTGTGCAGAAATCTTACACATGTTGATATGTCTTTAGTAATCTGGGTCTCTTTTTATTCTGTTTCATTCTCGTTTCTTTTTTCTTCGTTGATGTTGTTTTCTGTGTTTATCCGATATTATATTGAAGAATCTTGCATAACTAATGCACATGATGAATGGTTCCATTGCCAGGTGTTGAGATGAATGGTTCTTCTCGGAATGGCAAGACTTCCGATTTCGAGAAAACTTATCCAGGATGCTTGGGAAGAATGGTCAATCTCTTTGAGATGAACATTGGGGTGTCCGCAAATAAACTTCTCACTGATAAACCTCATCGTGATGGTGTGTTACCTATACTATTGTGTCTTTTCTACTAAAGCTAGATTTCGAACTGTATTGTGTTAGGATTCTATATTTTATATATTTCACATCGTAACAGAAATTGTTGATCTTTCTGTTTAAGGTAATTTAACCTATATATGCGGGTGCTTTAATAATCTTCTGTTCTGGTATATAGTCAATTTTATCTTCCATTACAATTCGGTCGGAATCGCTTCTAGGACTAAAAATATTGGCAGTTTGGAATAACATGGATCAATGATAGTTGCCCCGCTATATTTTTAGCATGTGAAAATGTTTACGATAGATAGGTTCTTCTCTTTTCCTTATACTTCTTTTCTTGTTTTATTGCTGATCACGATTCAAGTTTGCTAACTGACATTACTGAAACTGATTTACAGGCTCTCCTGTGTCAAGGAGCCGATCAGATGTAACAAGGACGAGTCCATCTCATGATCAAATACAAGAAAAAGCGGTAACTTTCTCTGAACTGTTAGTATCACTTTGTTGTGTGTGTGTGTGTGTGTGTGTGTATATATATATATATATATATTTTGTTTTACATATATTGCCTGGTTACTGAGTTATTCTGTTTCTACTGTGTGGTTTTCAGATTGTGTCTGAGCTAAGAAACACTTCTTCGCAGAGAAAATTAAACGTTACACCCATGAAGATGCTCATTGCACAAGAGATGTCGAAAGAAGTGGACATGAGACGAAGTCCACCTAATTTAGTTGCAAAACTAATGGGGCTCGATTCCCTTCCACCACAGGAACCTGACAGAGCGGTGCAAAGAAGCCATTCGAAAGGTCATCCCCGATCTCAGTCGGAGATACCGATGGGTAACTGGGAGCAACATAATGGATTCGTTCACTACGTAGAGCCAAATGAATACAAAGACGTTTACGAAATATGGCAGCAATCGCAGAAAGTTACACACAAGGGAAGACAACACAACGAAACTGCTAGTGACAAAAAAATGGCTCTTGTTCGTCAGAAGTTTGTCGAAGCAAAACGCCTGTCTATGGATGCAAAGCTTCGACAGTCTAAGCAATTCCAAGACGCATTGGAAGTTCTGAATTCGAACAAAGACTTATTTCTTAGGTGTTTGCAAGAACCAACTTCAGGGTTTTCTCAGCAACTTTACAATGTGCAGTCTATTGCTCCTCCACCAGAGACAAAGCGTATCACTGTGCTTAGACCTTCAAAGGTCGCAGATAATTATAACTTTGTTGGATCTGGGAATAAAGAAGGAAAACAAATGCCGAATAATTTGGAGAAAAGCCATCAAAGTTCGCCTCCTGCAAATTGGAGTAATAATAACGAAAATACAACTCAACCAACTCGAATAGTAGTTCTAAAACCAAGCCTTGGTAAAATACTCGACGATAGGGCTATGAGTTCTTCTCCACAGTCACAATCAGCAAGGGTACACGGTGAGGACTTTTTTGGGGATGTAGAAGACAACGAGAATCACGAATCAAGAGAAGTTGCAAAAGCAATCACACAGCAAATGCGTGAAAAACTCGGCAGGCACCATAGAGACGAAACTGGGATTTCTTCGGTGTTTTCCAACGGTTATGTGGCTGATGAAAGTTCGTTTAATAAATCGGAAATCGATTATCCGGCCGGTAATTTAAGTGACTCCGAAGTCATGTCGCCTGTATCTAGGCATTCTTGGGATTATGTTAATAGGCTTGGCAGTCCGTACTCATCTTCGTCTTTTAGCAGAGCGTCTTATTCTCCAGAGTCGTCGGTTTGCAGAGAAGCAAAGAAACGTCTTTCTGAAAGATGGGCAATGATGTCATCTAATGGGACTTGTCAAGAACAGAGACATGTACGGAGAAGCTCGAGTACATTGGGTGAAATGCTTGCTCTTTCTGAGGCAAAGAAGGCAGCTATGCTCGGTGAACAAAAAGGCAGTCCTAATGAAGAAATCGATGATGCAAATTCTCTCTTAGTTACGCCGCACAGAGAGTGGTTGAAGAAGGGAATAATTCACCGAGGAATCTTCTGAGGTCTAAATCTCTTCCTGTGTCTTCTACCCAATTTGGAAGTAGGCTCAACGGGCACGTTTCGGTTTCTGATAAGGGCAAAGTTGAAGTTCCTAAAGAGGCGAGTAGAAGTGCTAAATCATCACTGAAAGTGAAAGTCCTCGACGTTTGTTTTTCTCGAGGAACAAGAAGACTGGTAAAACAAATCTCTTGCATCTGAACCAAAGATGATTTGCACCCCGTTTCTGGAGAAATTGGAAA